TCTTACTGGGGCTTACTGGTGGACTCATCCTTACAACTCAGATATTGAACCCTCAGAGAAGCGTCCCTGGTCATGATATCAAAAGTCTCTGAACTTCCAATACTTTCTATTCAATATTCTATCTCCATAGTACATCTCAGTACCAGAAATGAAGAAGTATTTGGACAATGGGCACCTGTAGTACTGGGCTGTGGTCTCTGGCCTCATTCACAAAATAACCTTTGAATGCCTAAAATGTACCAGTTGTATTAAAAGTACAGTTGCCAAAATATTTTAAGCTATGATTTAGTAACCCATACACTTATCTGTCAAGCCCTTAAATAATAGTATCTAGTTGTAGGCGTTATAATTACCAGAATATAGAAGCTCTGATGGATGTAGATGCTATTTTGACAGATGTGCACCCACTGGACTAGGAAAGGAAAATATGGCTGATTTCTACTGGACAGAAAAATCACAGGTGCTGCAAGCAGTGCTATAGGTGATTACCTTGGTTTATAACTGAAGAAACTGCCAAAGTTCAGTTTGAGGTGTATTTTGTTTCTGTCCAAGTTTGGGAATTCTCTAAATTCTATCCAGAAGCTCCTTGGAGGTCTGTGAACTCCATGTTTAGAATTGTATGGGTAGGGCTGGAGACATGGTTCAGCAGTTCAGAGCATTGTTTGCTCTTGCAGAGGGCCCAAGTTCAATTCCCAGCATCCACATGGGCCCTTACAGCTATCTGTAGCTTCAGTCCCAGGGAATCCATCACCCTCTCTGGTCTCCCTGGAATCAAGACATGCACGTGGCGCATAGACATATAGGCAGACAAAACACTGATGCGCGTTAGAAAAGAATAAGTCTGTGCATGGTCTGCAAAAGTCTTGAACTTGTTGCCTTAAAAGGGAAAAGGTTAATTGTAGTGATGAGGGAGGAAAGTGCTGGAAGAAAGCTGTCTTCTCTAGCCCTCCATGGAACTGGGGTGTGGGTCATAGAGAAACGTCCTCTTGGGAGGGGCACAAGAAAAGCAGTGCTTTGAACTAAAAAAGAAACAGTCGTGCAGTTGCACACAGAAGTAAGGGTTTTCTTTGCCCCAGAGTGGAGTCCAGTAAGGATAGCCACACGTGGAGAAGAGATAACCACTGTGGGAAGATCAGCCATGGGGGCAAAGGTGAGAGAACTCAGAGCCGTAGGTGGAGTCCTCACTGTATGCCAGACAGTAGACCAGACACTGGCGAAACAAAGCTGGCTGGCACAAGGCTGAGTCACCCTTCTTTCAGAGCCCAGATTCTGGTGGCTGATTGGCTCGTCTGGCTGGTCTGATCTATGCACCTCTTCACAGCCTCTGGGAGCCAGGGGCAGTGGCAATAAGATGAACACAGTGCTTCGGAGATTCAAGGGGAAGGAAGCTGAGAAAAATCGGCTCTTCTGTCTCCCCCACCCCTTTGTGTGAAGCAAAAACTGAAATAAAAAGAAGTTATGTAAGAGAGGAAAGCAAAGCCATGCTCTGATCATGTAATTCAAAGCAGCTACCCATCTACCAATTAGCTACATCTGAGGGATGCGCCCTCTATTCTCACGATGAATTCTTCAGGAACCTTCTATGACTCTTGGCTGCCAAGAAATCATTTGTGCTTCAAAAACGGTCTTGACTGGGAGGGGGGGAATCAAGGGAAGAGAGAAAGAACAATATTTTTAGATTTTTTTTTCCTTTGGGGTGCCAGAGTTACCCTGCACCTGGGTCTCTTCCTGAAGGCAGTTCTCCGGATGCAGGATTCTGTGATTCTTTTTTTAAATGCTGTTTTTTTCCCCTTTCCTAGGGGGCTCTTTCACAAAGGCTCGGGTTAGGAGCTGTTGCAGGTGGGAGGTGTTGGCTGGTCTCATACCTTCCTTTGATCATGTCCTCTTGTGGCAGTGGGATCTGAAAACTAACCTGCCCTGGGCTGAGGTAAAGAAACGCTTCTTCCCTGAAGGGAGGCAGCATCTCCAGGGAAGAGGCAGCCTGCAAGCTGAGGAGAGGAGGAGAGAGGTAGGGCTGAAACTGAGCTGACCTAGTTAGAGCAGGAAGACGGATGCGGTCAAGGGTGAGGCTGAGCAAGTGGGCTGGCTCACTGCGTAAAGATGCTTGCCACCAAGCTGATGTTCCTCCACGCCTGGATCTCTCGGGGTGAAAGGAGGAAACTGACTCACGCAAACTGTCCTCTGACTTCGACACTTAGGCCACACACCTACACACCTACACAATAAATAAGTGTATTTAAGAAAAAGAAAGAAAGGGGCTGGAGAGATGGCTCAGAGGTTAAGAGAACTGACTGATGTTCCAGAGGTCCTGAGTTCAATTCCCAGCATCCACATGATGACACACACCCATCTATAATGAGATCTGGTGCCCAGAACACTATATACATGATAAATAAATTAAAAAAAAAAGAAAAAAGAAAGAAAGAATGTTGGAGCAATTGGAGTGGCTTCAGTGCAGATAGGGCTAGGAAGAAAGAAATTTCCGGAAAGGCCCAGGACAGGGAGGAGAACTGGGCTGATTATCTTTTCTGAAGTCTTGAAAACTTAGCATATATTAATGATATGTGCTAATGAGTTTCATTATGAGACTTTTGTGTGTGTACATAGTGCATTCTTTAGTATATTCGTTCACATTGCCCTCTTTTGTCCCCTCCCATTGATCTTCTTCCCCTTCCCAAGTAGCCCCTCTTCTGCTTTTATCTTTGTAAATAGAGGTATTTAATAAACACACTTTCATTTATTTGTGTGTGTGCATGTGTGCAAGTGTACTATCGTGTGTGTGTGTATGCATACCACAGTGCATGTATAAAGGTCAGAGGGCAACATCAAAAGCTAGTTTTCTCCTTCTATCATGTGGTCTCTGGGAATCAAACTCAGGTTCTCTAGCTTGATGGCAGGTACCCTTAACCACTGAGCCATCTCACCAACTCCCTGTTTTATGCCCTTGTGTTTATGAGCAAACCAGCAAGTTTAATTAGGGTTACTTATAGGAACATGAATAAGGGGTTAGTTACAGAAGTTACTGGCAACTCACCAGTGGCTACACTACTGAAGAAAATATCTCTCCCTCTAGCAACTGCTAACTGCCTATAGACCTTCAATTTACTATTGTTTAGGAGGCTGTGCTGAATCAGGTGTGGTGGTACACATAATTTAATTCTAGTACTCAGGAAGCGGGGGTGGAAGGTTCATGGGTTTGAAGCCAGCCTGAATAACATGAGGCTATTGTCTTAGTTAGGGTTTTATTGCTGTGAAGAGACACCATGACAAGGACAGCTCTTATGAAGGAAAACATTTAATGGGCTGGCTTACAGTCTCAGAGGTTCAGGCCTTTATCATCATGGTGGAGCATGGTGGCATGCAGGCAGATGTGGTGCTGGAGAAGGAGCTGAGAGTCCTACATCTTGACTCACAAGCAACAGGGAGTGGTCTGACTCACTGTGTGTGGCCTGAGCATAATGAGACCTCATATCCCACCCCTACAGTGACACACTTCATCCAACAAGACAGACCACATCTACTCCAACAAGGCCACACCTCCTAATAATGCCACTCCTTTTGGGGGCCATTTTCATTCAGAACACCTCTGCTATATAGCAAGATATTGTCTTAGAAAAGAGACAAATAGAGCTGTGCCCGGTGGAGCACACCTTTAATCCCGGCACTGGGGAGCAGAGGCAGACAGATCTCTGTGAGTTCAAGGCCTGGAATACATAACAAGTTCCAGATCAGACAAGGCTATAATGAGACCCTATCTCAAAAACAAAGCAACAAATAAATAAATAAATGTCTTGTTGAGTCAGGAAGACTGCCAAGGGCAGTTTTGCATGGATTCTCAGTGAGCTGAGGTTCCTATGTAGATGATTGGGGGACGTACCTTTAACAAATTTTGTCTGGATGCTTAGATCAAAAGTGGAAAAAACAAGCCGGGCGGTGGTGGCGCACCTTTAATCCCAGCACTCGGGAGGCAGAGGCAGGCGGATCTCTGTGAGTTCGAGGCCAGCCTGGTCTACAAGAGCTAGTTCCAGGACAGGAACCAAAAGCTACGGAGAAACCCTGTCTCGAAAAATCCAAAAAAAACAAACAAAAAAAAAAGTGGAAAAAACAGGGGGCTGGAGAGATGGCTCAGTGGTTAAGAGCACTGCTTGCTCTTCCAAAGGTCCTGAGTTCAATTCCCAGCAACCACATGGTGGCTCACAACCATCTGTAATAAGATTTGGTGCCCTCTTCTGGCCTGCAGGCATATACACAGACAGAACATTGTATACATAATAAATAAATAAATCTTTAAAAAAAAAAAGAAGTGGAAAAAACATATGTGACTATCGAGGTTGTTAATTGGGATGCTTCCCACATTGCTGCAAGAATGAGCCAAGATCCCACAGCACTGTGACAGAATCCCCTAGTGTGGATCACAGAGAGGTCTTGTGTCCAGAGCTCCAAAGCCAAGGCAGGGTGTGGGGAGCTGCAGGAAGCATCTAATGGGCTTAGATCAAGGGTCCAACTACAGACCCCACCAGAAATTGCCTTGGGGCTGCTGGAAGATAGAGGCGTTCTCTTCCCAGGTCCTGTCCTTCAGGAAGACACCACGAATCTAAGAGAACATTGATTCCTGCAAAGCAGCAGCAAATATTCCAATACCATGTAGAGGTTTTTTTTTTTACACTGCTGGGTCACAGAAGGGATTTTGGGCATAAGAAGAGAAGGCCCTTGGAAGGAGATAGGCATTAAACTGAGCTGTGAGGTGTGCAGAGGGAGGATGGGGATGTGGAGATTAATGGACATTCCACAGTGAAAAAATAAATTGGGTTCACATGTGGCCCAAGAAGACAACGAAAGTTGTCAGTATAAGACCCCACCAAGAAGACACAGAGAAGCCCAACTAGATGGGGGAGGTCCAATTACAGAGGACACATTGTGTTTCTAACTGGGATTGACTATGTCAAAAAAAAAAAAAAAAACCCAAGCACTTGACACCATTTCTCTCCTCTCCTCTCTAGCTATAAGCCTATAGTGGAATTCATAGATGCTCAGTTTGAGGCCTACCTGCAGGAGGAGCTGAAGATCCGGAGAGTACTGCACACCTACCATGACTCCCGAATCCATGTCTGCTTGTACTTCATTGCCCCCACAGGACATTCGCTTAAGTCTCTGGACCTAGTAACCATGAAGAAGCTGGATAGCAAGGTATGAGGCAGGAGCTGGGGCTGAGCAAGCTGGACTCTTACTGATCTGATATACAAGGGATGCTGGGTTCCAGAAGAGGTTTTGTGGCATCCTAATCCCACCCTCTGTTCCCTTCCCCCATAAGGATGGTGTTACAGATCGTGCATTTGGGCTATATGCTTTGCCATCTGGATTCCTAGTATTAGGAATGGCTTTGTCCTGAGTGTCTTGACAATAAGAACGAATGCAAGCAAGATGGCTGTTCAAGTTTAAGGGTGCTGGTTTTGGCAATGGAATACAGTACTATTCTTTACTTTAAATTTTTTTAGATTTATTTTATTTGATATTTTCAAGTATTTTACTGCATTATGCATATCTGTACACCACTTGTATGCCTGGTGCTGAAGGAGCTCAGAAGAGGATGTTGGATTCCCTAGAACTGGAGTTAAGGATGGCTGCGAGCCACCAAGTGGGTGCTAGAAACCAAACTTAGGTCTTCTGCAAGACATCGGTTGCTATAAACTGCTATCTCTCCAGCCAAGGCCCTAGTTTTGATTCTCAGCACCATAAAAATAAAACAAATTGAACATCAGATTCTTTCAAAAGCCTAATTACTACAAGTTTCCTTCCCTAACATTTGGCATGTGCCAGGCACTATGTACATATATGTTATTTCATCTCTTCTATTTGTATATGTGTGTATGCATGTTTGCATGTATGTACACATGTGTGTATGTGCATATGGATGCTATGTGGAGACTGAAGGTTGATGTCAGAATCATCCTCTGTCATTGATCTTCTACCTTATTCACTGAGGCAGAATCTCTCAGCCAAACCAGAATTCAGATATATAGCTGGTCTTGCTAACTACCTTGCTTGATCTACCTTCTGAGGCTGAATTATGGGCACACTGAATGCTTGCAAGTTCAGGGGATCTAAGCTCTGGTCCTCATACTTGTGCAGCGAGAGCTTAGCCACTGAACCCTGTTTTGTTTTTTTTTTCTTTTTTTTTAAAGTATTTATTTATTTATTTGTTATATATACAATATTCTGTCTGTGTGTATGCCTGCAGGCCAGAAGAGGGCACCAGATCTCATTACAGATGGTTGTGAGCCACCATGTGGTTGCTGGGAATTGAACTCAGGATCTTTGGAAGAGCAGGCAATGCTCTTAACCTTTGAGCCATCTCTCCAGCCCCCTGAACCCTGTTTTTTGTTATTGTTGCTTGTTTGCTTTTGTTTTTAACACTCATACTTGTGCAGCGAGAGCTTAGCCACTGAACCCTGTTTTTTGTTATTGTTGCTTGTTTGCTTTTGTTTTTAACAAAGGTGCTTTTATTGTATTTTGTTTAAATTTTTAGATTTTATTTATTTTTAATCAAAACTTTTTCAGCCGGGCGATGGTGGCGCACACCTTTAATCCCAGCACTCGGGAGACAGAGGCAGGCGGATCTCTGTGAGTTCGAGACCAGCCTGGTCTACAGAGCTAGTTCCAGGACAGGCTCCAAAGCCACAGAGAAACCCTGTCTCGAAAAAAAAAAAAAAAACAAAAAAAAAAACTTTTTCATACAATGTATTCTGATCATGCTTTTCCCCTCCCACAACTCCTCCCAGATCCTCCCCACCTTTCCACCCACCCACCTCCATATCTTTTATCCCTTTCTCATTAAAAATCAAAAACAACAACCCCCCAAAAATACACAAAAAGAAACTTCATGAAAACAAAAACCAAATATATAAGTACAAAACCAGTAAGGCAAAATAAATAAATAAATAAATAAATAAATAAATAAATAAAAAGGATGAAAGAAAGAAAAGAAAAAGAAAAAGAGAAAAGCCCAAATGAAGCAGTATGAGGCAAAAAGTCTACAAGACCACCATTGAGTTCACTGTGTGTGGTCCATCTACTGCTGGCCATGGGTATATCTTGAAGTTAATGTACCCAGTGAGACTTCATTGGGGAAAAAGTAATCTTTCCTTTCCAAGTAGGTATCATCTACTTCTTGGTTAGAGACAGAGCCTGTGTTTACTTCCTCTCTCTCAGCAATGGGATCCTGTCTGGCTTGAACCTGTGCTGCTACCATCTCTGAGTTAACATATTTAGCAGTTCCATTGTCTGGAAGACACTGTTTCCTTGGTGTCACCCATCACCTCTGGCTCTTCCGTTTTTCTACCCCATCTTCCACATAGATCCCTGAGCTCTGAGGGGGAGGATCCTATTTAGGACTGAGTGCCAAAGTCCCACTTTCTACACATTGTCCTGTTGTGGGTCTCTGTGTTAGTTCCTGTCTATTGCAAGAAGAAGCTTCTCTGATGATGGCTGAGCAAGGCACTGATCTCTGGGTATAGCAGAATGTTGTCAGGAGTTATTTTATTGCCATGCTCTTTTAGCACAACTGTACTTAGTAGTATTTAGTACTTAGTATTTAGTTTTCCCCTAGGCCCATGACCTATCCAGTCTCAGGTCTAGCAGTGTCAGGCATGAATTCTGTCTCATGGAGTGGGCCTTAAATCCAATTAGGCAGTGGTTGGTTACCTCCACAACAGTTGTGCCACTGTTGCACCAGCATATCACATAGGCAGGTGACATTGTAGTGTGCAGGGTTTGTAGCTGGCTGGGTGGTGGTTGCCTTTCTCCTTTGGTAGTGTGCAAAGTGCATTCCAATAGCATGAACACCAGTAATAGCAGTGAAGGCTCTAGTTAGGCACCAGCTCAACTTCTACATATTTGATGACATATCTAAATGTTGTCTTCAGCAACAGGGACTGGGCCCTATTTTGCCCTTCTAATAATCTAGTAGTATATTTAAGTGCTGTTACTTACATTTTACATAGTACTGTTAGCTACATATGAAGTCACTGAGGCACAGAGAGGCAAGTACCTTGCTCAAGGTCAGACAACTTGTAATGGAGTTGAGATTTGCCTTTAGCTCCAACTGCAAGTTATTTTAGTATACAAAATTCTAATTTACATGTAGTCATTTGGTAGCATAGCCACTATAAGAACTGAATGTCAGCTATAATCAGAATAAGAGCAGTTTTTTCCATTTTTGCAGCAATGAGCTCACTACTTGTGAATAATAGGCTGTTCCTGAAATGTCTCCATGCCCAGCACGGCCCCGTATAGAGCGGCAGTGAGCCATGTGGCAGGCTGTTTGCTGGGTAGGCTGCATTAAGTAAGCAGTTTTTGGTTTATGTTTATTGTGGACTAATGAGGACTAGGCAAAAAAATAAATAAATAACAAGGAGGCTTGGATTTGCCTGCTGTTCCATCTTGGCAAAGATCTGGATCTCTTAACCCCAAAGACTTCAAGAGAGATAACTACAAGGTCCGGTCTTTGACTCGCATCCCAAGCTTTGTGAGATGTGTCTTCAGGGGTCTTCAAAAGCACAAAAGACACAGGACTTAATCAGTTCTAGAACCCCCACATGCTCCTTTCAGAGTCCAGGGCCTGAGAAACATTCATGCTGTCCCAGTGAGGTCTGCAAGCAGGAACAACTCCATTTTCTTCAGGAACCTGAGCTTAGTGTGCTCTGTCTCCTAAAGCCACGCGCATGGCAGATTTCTTTACCATTGGCAATAAAAGCTTTCCCTCTTTCTGGAGGGATTTCAAGGGTCAGGGTTCAGGTGAGTTGAACTTTTGGGGTGGCACTAGGCCTTTCTCTTGCTATCTGAAATTAGGCCTTCATACCTACTTTCTTTGCTCAGAAATAAATGCAAGCATTGTAACTTAAGGGGGTAGGGGATGGTAAAACAGGATCTAGTATAGTTTAAGCTACCTTCAAACACACCACATAGCGAAAGATGGCCTTGGACTGATCCTTCCACTTCCACCTCTCCAGTGCTGGGATTATAGGTGGAGCTGAAGATGGAGCTTAGGGCTCATGCTAAGCGAGCATCCCGCCAACTGAGCACATGCCCAGCCCAGTCTAACTTTTCTGCATAGGTCTCAGGTCAGATTCGTAATACTGGGTCTTTTGTGCCTACCTGGCTGCTGCAGGAGAGCCACATACATGTTCATCCTCATCAAGTTCTGCCCCTGCTTCCTTTTTCCTCCCACGTGGATCCATGGTATATCTGGCTGGGGAAAGCCTCAGTTGGACAGGTTGGGACAGCTTATCGTTACCAACAAATGGCTGCCTGTCACATTGTCAACCACAAATTCCCTGTCATCTTTCTTCTTTGAAACACTCGGGCAGTGACCTTGATTCCAAGACTTCACACAGCCCACCAACTTGGTTCTGAATTGATAGACAGTTCATAGTTGCTACCAGCTTTGGGACTACGACTGAGTTTGATTTGAATTTCAGTTCTGCAACTTATTTGCCCTGTGGCCTTAGGCAAGTTATTTAACCTCTGTGCGGTTCAATTTCACTTTGGTAAAACACTGGCAGCAATGCCTTCTGGGAAAGTTGTTGGGATTAATTTTGCTACGCCATTCATAGGGTACTTAGCTTAGTGGCCAACACATAGTAAGTACTCGTCATTGTTATTTGCTATTTGGCTAAAGGTGGACAGTGCTAGACTATTCGCTGAGCTTGCTACCCCCTCTGGGCGCTGGTGGGAGCCCTAGGCTGTGGAGTTGTCGGTTGCTAGTTAAGGATCCCACTTTGTTCCTCCTTCTCCTAGGTGAATATCATCCCCATCATTGCCAAGTCAGACGCCATCTCTAAGAGTGAGCTGACAAAGTTCAAGATCAAAATCACCAGTGAACTTGTGAGCAATGGAGTCCAGATCTATCAGTTCCCCACGGATGACGAGTCCGTGGCTGAGATCAACGGAACCATGAATGTGAGTGGGGGCACAGGGTTCGACCTTCCAGACGTGTGCTCTTATGAGCAGCCTTTGGCAAGTAGGGGTGAAGTACCTTCATCAGCCCTCTTAGTGCTGATCTTAACTCTTGAGTGCCTGAGACTCGGGTATTGGGGACAGAGGACCCAGAACCTAACTAGTTTCTATTTCTAGTGATGGCTGCTGTGACATCTCAGTGGCACAGAGATTAGTGACCAGGGGAAGGGCAAGGCTGACGTGAGGTTGCGTGTGGAGTGGGAATTCAGGCCTCTCTTGCTCCTCGTTTTTGGCTCCTGTGCGTGTTCATATGTGTATACAGGTGTTTATATTCATGTTTGTGGTGACCAGAGGTTGATGGGTGTCTCCCCCGATCACTCTCCACTGTATTTACTGTGCTAGGGTCTCTTGCTGAAACCGAAGCTCACCAATACCTCCTAGTCTAGCTGGCCAGCTTGCCCGGGGGTCCCGTTTTCCCCATCTCTGCCTTCTAAGTCCTAGGATTACAGGTAGCTGCTGTGCCCGGCCACCTTCTCTGTGAGTGCTGAGGGGCTGAACTCAAATTCTTGAGATTACAAGGCAGGTACTCAATCCACTGTGCCATCCCCCCAGCCCCCAAACTGCCTTCTTAGTACCCTTCAGTTCTAGGCCAGGCAACCTTCCAGACTGGACTGCAAGAAAGGGAAACTATGTTTGTCTGACCACAACAATGCCAGCACAGTAGGTACAGCAAAAGCCATAAAGGCCAAAAAAACCAGCTTGGCCTCAGAGGCACAGGGATGGGCTGTTGGCCAAGAATTGAGCCCTATTGTCATGAACCGAACAATGAGAAATAGCCTCCAATTTTCTGGCAACCACAGTGATTTTTTTTTCTAGGATCTTAGGCTGGAACACAGAGATTTAAAAAAAAAAGATTTTATTTATTTTTATTTTAGGTATGTGAGTGTTTTGTCTGCATGTATGCAAGAATACCATGTGTGTACAGTGTCCATGGAAGCCAGAAGAGGGCATTGGATCACCTGGGACTCAAGTTATAGATGGTTGGGAGAAGTCTTGTGGCTTCTCAGAACTAAATCCAGGTCCTCTGCAGGAGCGGCCAGGGCTCGCAAGCACTGAGCCATCTCTCCAACCCCTGTGATGTTATTTTGAAGCCCCAGGGTTATGATTTGCCTTATTAAGTGTGAATGAATTTACAAATAGAGTCCTCTTTTTCTCTCTTCCCCCACCTCCCCCACTAGAGGAATGAATAAGAGAGAAGGCCGAGAGTCAAACACTCCCGGGCTGCTTTGCAATGTGTTGCTGCTGTTGCCGTGAAAGCTTCGCTGTTGTGATTTCTAGGAGACAGCTAGCGGCTTTCAGCAAGCCTCTGCTTCAGGAACAAATTTCTTTTTCGCTATTGAGAGGCATCGGTTTTTCCTAATGACATAATGTCAGGGGACAGCCAAACTCAGGAAAGCCTTGTAATAAAAGCCATTTTTAGCAAACTTTTCCTGCTGCTGGTGCCCTCTAAGTTGTCATTACAACATCAGCTGCCACCTCCTGTGAATTGGCCAACAAATCAGCATAGTCAGGCAGCAAGTCACCGTCTCGCCTGACGTCTTGGCCTTGAGCACAGCCCACCCTAGATAGGTTTCTGAGTAGAAGCCCTTCCTTCATCTGCCTTGAACAAGTCTGGCTCAAGTCTGTGGGCCGGGAGGTAGGTAGAGTTGTGTTCTTTGTGACCTAGTGTGGGTGTGGACAAAAAATAAAAAACAAACAAACAAACAAAATACTGCTGTCCTCTCCAGGAATCAGGGCATTTGGATGGAAATGAGGGTCTGTTATGATAAGAAAACTGGATAAGGTGCCCAGCCTGTAGCGAAACAGGAAGTGCTTTCTGGGTGTCGCTTGCACTGATGTCTGGAAGCATGTAGTCACCTCAGGGACCTCAGTTCTATAGATAGCTTCCAGGCTCATTCTCTGAGTCAGCAAGCATTGCTCAGCCTTATCGTTTGCTTTGCTACAAACAAAGAGGAATAAGTTTTCCGCAATGTGAAGGTGTCCCACCAAGCTCTGTCTCTACGTGATGGCAGTCTCCCTTTCTCTCTCTCAGCTCAGCTCTGGCCTCCTGCTGAGCCTAGAGCGGATTCAGCCTCAGAGTTTCCTTCTCCAGCACGCTGCTGTGGCAGCCCAGAGATTGCGGGCCCTATGTTATGTGTAACAGCCCAGAGTTTGCCCCTGCTTCGCTTTGAACAACTAAATTAAAAACTAGTTGTGGTAGCACATGCTTGTCATCCCAGCACTGAGGCAGGAGAATGACATGTTTTATTCTGGCCTAAGTTACATATAACCTGCCTCCAAAAGAAAAGAAAAGAAAAGAAAAGAAAAGAAAAGAAAAGAAAAGAAAAGAAAAGAAAAGAAAAGAAAAGAAAAGAGAAAAGAAAGCTAAGTTTGATGGGTTCAGGGTCATCCCTCTACGTAGTGTCACTCAAAATTCACTCCCTTGCATGTCACCATGCTTTCGAATGGGAAGGGAAGAGAAAGGGTACCCTCCAGCCAGGATGCCTGGACTTGGGCATGTCTGCGAGAGGGGCCTGTATGGGAAGCCTCTGGGTCCCAGATGACGAATTGGGAAGCAGGAGGGAGGAGTCACTGCTATAATAAACACAAAAGTTCTTTGCCCACTTGCCAACATTACAACTGTGTCAGAGTCTCCAGAGAAACCATGGTTTATGCACTGGTATCAACAGAGATGGGGAGGGCGTGCTTGGGCGCTATGAGGTCTGGGTGCTGGACTTTCCATTCTAGATATGGTTCCAGATCCCCAGTTCCTGCCCACTGCACAGCCTGTTGTCATGGGAAATAGAAGAGGCCGAAGTTGTTTTATTTTTTTTTTTAACCTAGTTAGAGAAGACTGTGCAGCTGCCCTCTTAAACCCAAGTAAGAGATATTCATGGGTGCGCATGCCCAACCTCACCCTCAGCTTTTGGGTGACTCTGGAGAACTTTATTTCAGATTGTGGAAGCAGGAGATGGGGGAGTTGGGGGAGAGGGAGAGAGTCCATTGGATGCTATTTTCAACCCCTACTGGGATTCCTCTCAAAGCTGTAGGCTTTATTTTATTTTTTTAAAGATTTATTTATTAAGTATACAACATTCTGCCTCCATGTATGCCCACACATCAGAAAAGGGTGCCAGATCTCATTACAGATGGTTGTGAGCCACCATGTGGTCACTGGGAATTGAACTCAGGACCTCTGGAAGAGCAGTCAGCGCTCCCAACCACTGAGCCATCTCCCCAGCCCCCTGTAGGCTTTAAATCTCAGAATTGCCACACTGGGGGCTGGAGAGATGGCTCAGAGGTTAAGAGCATTGCCTGCTCTTCCAAAGGTCCTGAGTTCAATTCCCAGCAACCACATGGTGGCTCACAACCATCTGTAATGGGGTCTGGTGCCCTCTTCTGGCCTGCAGGCATACACACAGAATATTGTATACATAATAAATAAATAAATAAATAAATAAATAAATAAATAAATAAATAAATATTTAAAAAAAAACAAAAAAGAATTGCCACACTGTTTAAGTTAATTCATCCTTTTGAGACCGGGTCTCACTAGGTAGCCCAGACTGTCCTTAAACTTGTGACCTTCTCGTCTCAGCTTCCTAATTGCTGGCACTATAGAACTGAGTCACCATGCCTAGCCTATTGTTTAGATGCAGTGCTGCTGCTCTGGTGTAATAACACACCTAGAGTCCCAGCACTTGGGAGGCAGGAACAGCTGGATCAGAAGTTTAAGGTTACCCTCCACCACACAGAGAGCTGAAAGATAGCCTGAACTACATGAGGCCCTGTGTAAGAAATACAACAAAAATGTAATGCTGTTCTTTTTTTTAATTTTATTTTATTATTATTTTTATTTATTTATTTATTATGTATATAATATTCTGTCTGTGTGTATGTCTGCAGGCCAGAAGAGGACACCAGACCTCATTACAGATGGTTGTGAGCCACCATGTGGTTGCCGGGAATTGAACTCAGGACCTTTGGAAGAGCAGGCAATGCTCTTAACCTCTGAGCCATCTCTCCAGCCCCTATTCTTTTTTTTTTTAAAGATTTATTCATTTATTATGTATACAGTGTTCTGTCTGCATGTATGCCTACAGGCCAGTAGAGGGCACCAGATCTCATTACAGATGGTTGTGAGCCACCATGTGGTTGCTGGGAATTGAACTCAGGACCTCTAGAAGAGCAGCCAGTGCTCTTAGCCTCTGAGCCATCTCTCCAGCCCCATAGTGCTCTTCTTAAGATAGCTCAAATTATAGCCAGGGATTAAAAAACAGGCCCAGTTACATGACTAAGATCAGTTAGTTGGCTGTTTTGTTAGGCATTGGGTTTGATTCCCACGAATTGTATTTGTACCACTAAGAGCACATGGTTGACAAATTGGACCATAGGGAGGCCCATAGGCCCTGGTGTGTCCTTTCCCTCCACCCCACAATGGTGTCTCTATTGTTCCCATGTACATCTGTTGGAATGACCAACGTACTTGAGTGAATTAGGGGACAGTCTTGTTTAGTCACCAGTGGGAGTCTGAAATGGGGGCGAGGAGAAAGAGCCTCGTGACTGGTAGGCACAGTCCACCCTGGGAAGAAACCAAGGCTAGTTAGTATACTCCACCAGACAAGATCCTGATGGAATCTCACAACCTAAAAACAAAAGCAGAAAGCATTTTTCTGGTCTTCAAAGCATGACTCGTGTCGTGACACTTGGATCATCAGATAACTTTCAAATGGGCCAGGGGAGGTTTAAGGTAGACATGAAACTGGAAAGTATTATGTTGTGTGATGTTTTACTCTTTTGCCTTTTTTTGGGGGGTGGCAACACTCAGATCCCAAATAAATCACACCTGGCGGCTTATTTTTAGTTAGAAATGCCTGGCCTTAGCTTGGCTTGTTTCTTTCCAGCTTTTCTGACTTAAATTATCCTGACTATCTTTTGCCTCTGGGCATTTATCTTTCTCTAGT